CCATGGAGATATTCAATTCATTCTCTGACAGGTTTCATTTCCTTGCTGAAGAATATAGAAAAGAAGAATGGCTTGATTTCCTGAGGTTTATTGGTCTTCGTACTAAGGTAGCACCAGAGGAATTTGTAGAATTTTGTGATGAAGTGTCAAAAAATCATTGCAAAGATACCTCTACTGTACTTGTGGAATACCTTTTTTCAACTAAAGCCACTGCTATCCATAAGTCACCAGCACTCTTGTCTAAAATTTGTGAAATTCCTTTTGTTTGTACTGCTGATTTGAGTCCATTATCATGGATTGCTCCACCTTACAGTGCAGGTTTTACTTGTTTAAATGAAGCTGTTGGATATGAAGATGCTCCACTTCTGTGGACTGTTAGACCAGTTATAAAATTGCCAAAATACTCTATAACTGTGCTTAAAAACAGAAAAGGGAAAATTGTAATGGAGCCATCTGTCACAGATGTTTTTGAAAACATAATTAATATTTCAAAATCAGATTTGGCTGACTTTAACTTAATGTCAACATATAAACTACCATCTGTATCAAGAACTAGTGATAAAGCATCTATAGTAAAGGTTATTAAAGACAACATTACATTTATTCTTGATCATAACAGCAACCTATTAAAAGAGCTATCTTCAATTCCGTTTATTCCAGTAAGTGCTGAACGTAATGATGATCTCGAGATTAGCAAGCCTGTACTTTTAAACTCAATGCAAGTCATCATGTCTGCTCATTCACCAGGATCTGAACAAAGCACAAGATTCTGTCCTTATATTAATGATTTGCCGATCAGTTTGCATGATTCATATTCTGCATTGTCAAAAGCAGGAGTCACATATAAAGTGGAACTAAAACATATACGATATATGCTAGAGAAGCTCCATCAGCAATGTAAAAATATTAACAATCCTAATGATAAAAAATTAGTAAGAAATGCAATGCAAGCACTCTTTGAGTTATTAAAAGATGTGACACAAGAAACTGAAAAAATACTGGAGCCTTTGTATCTACCGTCAATTGATGATCAATTAGTTTTATCAACAAAGCTTGTCTATCTTGATAGAAAGGTATATTTCAACCATGAATCTGAGTGGGACTTTTCTAATTCACAATTTAAACTATTTTATATTCCTTTATCTGATAATGAGCTCTCAGAGAAAGAACTGTGTTGCAAGTTGCCCAAAAAGCTATCTCCAAAGCGTTTATCTTCTGTTAGTCATGATGAGCTTGAATCAGGTACTACACTGCAGTCCCACAGCAGGCTTTGTGAACAGCTAAAGTATCTGACAAACTTTTGTTCTTATTATACTGATGGTGTAACAAAAATATTTGTGAAGGTTTTACCACATCTATCAGAACCAAATGCTATTGCATTGGTTAATTTTATTAAAAATCTTAAATTTGAAACAGTCACTGATTTCACCACATGTGTAATGATAGATTCTATAAAAGTTGGAATAATAAAACCCAAGTTTCTTTTTATAAATGAAGATGGCATTTATACTTTGTACAGCAGTGATGAAATTAGTAATATAAGTAAGACATTACGAAAAGGTCTTGCTCATGAACTCTGTAATGTATTGGCACGAGCTGTAAATGATGAAGCAATAAAGTTGGATGAAGTAATTTATGAATTTCTTGATGTTCAGACTGAAGAAGATTTCAAGTTGTTTATGGAAGAATATGGTCAGAATGCCATTGTAAATAATGAATATGAAATCAATGCTGATGATAGCATGCCAGAGCCTGGACAACCCATGGGAAGGTACTGGGAGTCATTTCTTTTTCAAAATGCTGATAATATATTTCGTCCTCAAGAGTGGGTTGGGTATGAGAGAAAGGATGATGATTTTATATGGGCCATCATACTTCATGAAGTACAGCAAGAAGATGCAGAGAATCAATACTCAAAAAAATATGCCATTCAGATTGATAATGAAGATGAAATCCATGAAGAGATTGTATTTATACTCAGCTTGTTTAAGCTTGTACGTCATGAGGCACCACTGGCTAGTCCTAATCATCATCAAGGAATAGCACTACATAGTGGGATTCATCAAGCTACTAGTGAAGCAAGAGCTGAAACTGAGAATGATAATCTACGCAGTCTAAAGAAGAAAATATGTGAGCAGCTTAGGCTATTGTGGAGACTACCAGACACTGAAAGGAGAAGAGGGGTGAGGCGGTTGTATCTACAATATCATCCTGATAAAGCTGATCCATCTAAGGTGAGTATTTATGAAGAGGCTTTTAAATTTTTTAAGTCTCAGATCAATCGTATGGAGAACAATCTCCATCCTGATGTTACTGAATCTTCTAGTCACCATACAGAAACTAACTTTGGATCACATTGGGAATCTAATTTTAACCAGTGGGATAGAAGTGCACGCAATAGAAGATATGGACATAGCGGAAGTGGAGGAGGAGGTAGTTTTGGTGGCAGTAGTTTTAGTAGACCTCAACAGAGCAATACAACACAAGATAGAGTACATTATCAATGATCGTACACCATCAATTTTCGGACACTTGTTTTAGGAAAACTATACATTGCCATCTCATGAAACTGCAAAGTATTATAGCAATAGTTATCCTTTATTTGCGTGACAAAACTTGTAGCTCTAGCAAGAGTGCATAGAAAGTTATAAGCTCTCAAAGCGTGGTGTCCGACAATACCAATGATCGGCCAAAATTCTCAATCTTCGGACTGTCATTTCTGAACGGCAGCAAAGGATAGTTTTAGAAGATCACTATGATAACTTTGTAGGCCTGTCTTTAAACTAACTATCACCATCCGGATCTTTTTGATAGCTGTCTTTTTGACAGAGATAATGGCCACTAAAA